CAAAATACTAAACCAGTTCTCATTTTTATATACAAATTTACATTCAACACTCACATGAAGTGAAAATCATTTCCTAACTAATGCTTTTCCTTCTGTTTCATTCTCTCAAATAGTCTTGAAAATGTTATAGAATTTTTTATTCATTTGTGAGGGTTTATGTCATCCCATTGTTGATTTTAATCACTCCAATTCATCAGTCTCTTTTTGAATACGTACATCCAGAAAGGATAGATGTGGTATTGATGTCAACTCAAGATCATTTCACTCAAAATTCTGAGGGTCCTCTAGGATACATACCGACAAGATTTCATCTTCCTTGCACAAGTCGGTGGCTATTTGTACTAAGAATTTGAGTAGATCTAACATTCAGTGTCTCAAGCGGACGTTAACAGGTTGAAGTCTAGATGTAAATATAAACACGGGTGCAAGTGCCATCAACTAATCAGACTAACACAATCATGTTGTTTACTGCTAGTCACTAAAAACAACACTTCACAATTGTTCAATAGGTTTTCTTTGTTATAATTCTGGATTAAAGTCAGTAATGGGATATCAATTGTGTGATAAGTTAACAACAAACGAATATCTTTACAATTGATGAACCAATTGAATATTATTTAGTTTCAATAGATTGTCGCATGAAGTGTTGAAAAGAAATCCATACGAACTAGATTTCATTCACAGTGTAAACACTAAAATGATAATGCAAACTAGTGAATACGACAGTCACTAAACAAGTTGAAACTCCTGTCTTGGTTCGAAAGATTGACAAAACCGTATATCACTAGGCAATGGTAAACGATCCGTAAATGACCCTATGCTTCAGTGATAATTAATCAGATGTACTTCTGAATAACGACAACACATTGATATGAATCTGTATTATGTTGTAGAAGTATTTCGATGTATTCACTCTGTCATTGTCATTTACAAATAACATATTTCTGATTATATGATAAAACTATTCGGTAATGATTGGCATCGACAAGATGGACGCTAAAAGCTGGAAGTCAGACAGAACAGGTTAAGAAACGCGGTCAGAGCCTTTTGACTAGTATCAAAATGATAATGTATTCAGTGAACATCGACTCCCAAAATAGTTTCAAACCTGTTATAATTATTAATTGTCAGAAAATAATAAAGATGTTCAACTGTCTTTCAATTTCTATGTGGGTATCCTCTGAGCTTATTAATAATACAATGGGGATTCAAGAACTTTCAAATTTCTATTGAAATAAATACCCATTAGGCATAATTGCTACTTATGAGTAGTAATAACATTTAAAGTTATTTTGTAAATTATCCCTTATAAAGAACCAATCATTATAGACAATAGTATAGTTATAAACGTCATTTGCTAACCGTCACTTATTAAGGGTACAAATATATATATATATATATATATATATATATATATATATATATATATATATATATATATATATATCAATTAGGAAGATTCGTGCGAAGAAATATAACTTACGTCTCAATAACAATGAACCATAATTGTTTAAACTGCTTTCAAGGTGAAACATGCTCCTAGATATACCGTTTTATATTTTTGATTATAAATATACCTTCATCTTATATTTTTACTAGCATTGAGAGGTGAACGTAAGTTATCGAACAATGTTCATTCACTAGTTCATATTTGTAATAGTACTTACACTGACGAACTCATCATTATATTTCATATATTCTTATGAAACTTGTGTGATCATCGAAATGAGGAAGTGTATCTACTTCCGTTATTGTGATTTAAAGCTGACTACATAAATTGGAAAACACTTTTGCTCTATGCAAGAAGATTTTACTAACGAATTTTTATAGTTTTCCTTGAAAATGTGAGAAAACTGAGACAGCTTGAATTGTTTCAAATACAGATGTAAAGTCTCAATGAATAAATAACTATCAAAATGGGTTTTATGGAGATTTTTAGAAATTTCGCTGGTTGAAATCATGAGTCAATCGAAGCTAGAACACCATGGAAAACCTGGAAGCACCGTTGCGTCCTAGTGTGGGACTTCTCAGCAGTACGCATCCGGCTCAGTGGTCTAGTGGTTAAGTGCTCGCGTTCGGAAGTAGTAGGTGCCGGGTTTGAATCCCGTGACGTGCGGGATCGTGGATGCGCACTGCTGAGGAGTCACATACTGGGACGGAACAGCCGTCCAGTGCTTCCAGGTTTTACATGGTGGTTTAGCTTCAACTGACTCATGATTTCAATCTGTGAAATAAATAATTGATGGAAACATATAGTTACATGAAATGTATGAATTTCTTCACTAAACAAATTAATTTCAGTTGTTGTAATCATGAGTCAATTGAAGCTAGACCTGGAATCACCATGTTTTCAGGTTTTCCATGATGGCCTAGCTTCAATTGACTCATGATCTCAACCATTGAAGTTACTATAATATCCACAAAAAACCACTTCTAATATTAAACAGATTAAGTTGAGAGTTATCACTACCAAGATTGAACTTGATAGTTTCAAATTAATTAAGCATTGGATAGAGAGTTAATAATCAATATATTTCTATTATATCCCAATAAATAGAAAAATTAAATTCCCGATGTTTCGTGACTCGGTATAAACCGCTTCTTCAGAGCAAATAAATAACCGAAATTACTGACTTACATTTAAAGCCATTTGAAAATATTTATCGCTAGTTTCTACTTAATTGAATAATTTTCTGGTTAGCGTTTTTAGCGAGTTAGTTTTCTACGAGATGAGGTCACTAACACCATGCAAAACCCTCCTCCTTTATTCGGACTTGGTACCGGCAGTGGCCTCCAGAGGGACTCCAGTTGGAGTTTTTTAGTTGATTAGTTACAATATTTAGCATTATATGCATTAGTAAGTCCCTCTTTACAAACAGTAATATAATCACACTCATGCGAAAAGTAAACCATACAATAATAGACAAGCTTTATTAAGACATTTACAACAACGTTGTAATAAATTAGGCTAAATCTATTTTTATTTCCTAAAAGAAATCAATCGAATCTATTACAAATCTTTTCATGGAACTATCATATCTTGTAAATAATACACCCCATTTAATCTTTGAATGGAATGGCTGATATTTAATCATAATACTTTTCTTAAACCAGATTTATAATCTATCATCAACAGCCTCATCCATGAGATAATCATATATTTGACAGTTTGTTTACTTACTGGGAATTACAATTAACACCAGAATAGAAATTATTTAGAAGATGATTTAAGATAACTTTACCTATCTACATTGTTACTTCATTTAAATTATTTGTGCCAATTGATATTTTGAAATATTTTTCAAGCTATACCTCGACCTAGTAAGTCATCAAATCATATCTCCATCATATATATATATACATCACTTAACTCATGATTTATGTATAGTTTGAACAGTCATGTCAAACATTGATAGCCGGTGTATATTATTAAATATGACATAATCTTTGTGGAAAGATTGTTCTTTTACAAAATACTATGCTATTTATTAATAAAGGTTCAAGTTCACCTATGGAAATTGTTATAACTTATGGCCTGAGTGCCCTGCTAACGTATAAGTAACGATACCGCCAATGAGAGAGCAGTGAATTATCAATCGGATCAATGACGCATAAAACCTGTGCGAGCAGTCTGGAGTACTTATCGGTCCTGCTTCCTGCCTAGCATGGGCAGTTTAATTCAGAACACCAATCTCAGCCTCTCCAATATGAATCATTTATTTCAAACATAATCGGTTTATAATGCCAACCAGACAGACCACATCGTACCAATAAAATACGAAACAACATTTATACAAGATTTGGCCAAATATGGCTGTGAATGTAGGAGGTAGTGAGTGGTTAATAGACAGGGTATAATTCAAGAATGGTAAATGGCATAATAATAGTTCATAGGTCAAAATAAAGCTAATAATAAGAGGGACGTGAATATGAATAGTTTAGTTATTTAACAATTATACGATAAAAATAAACTCATAGTATTCGTTCATAAGTGGATCCCAAAAATTATCATTCCTTATGCCTATCTCGACATAACAGAGATGATACATCAATTATGTCATAATCAATCTCTTTCAGATTGATATTTCAACACTTAAACCATTTTAGACAAGTAGTCATCGATATTTAATTGATTAGTTAGTATTTCTCATGTTAGCGTCTACAATCTACTGAACTGAAACTATTAACCATTTTCCACTCCCAAGTGAACGATCAACAATATTAAAGCAGATCAACTGTTACAAAGATTGTTAGGCTCAATCAAACATTTCAAATTCCAATTTTCATATGATAAATGTTTTGAAAATAAGTAATGAATAAGACACTGTTGACTTAATACTCCAGCAGGAGTATGTATAATTCTGTTTCTTTTCATTAAACTTAGTTGATTGGGAGGAATTGGGAAAAATAAGTATGTTTTAATTTGTAAAACTCGAGAAGATAAAGCTTACATATGTCGTTTTGTGAAATGCGTGTTTATTTGAATAAAGTTCATTTATAACTTTGTACACATCAACTGAAATTCATTCAGTAGTATTTGCCTCAAAACCATCCTAGTTGAGTTACCACTGTACATAAGTGAGACATTGACAACTATTCATATATTAGTTGTTAAATAATAATATTTTACAAACTGTGATTTTTCTGATCATTTCTACGATTTATGATATAAGTTTATGAGCGTGCATAATTAGCATATAAATAATGTAACTTCAATAGTTGAGATCATGAGTCAATTAAAGCTAGAACACCATAGATAACCTGGAAGCAGTGGACGGCCGTTTTGTTCTATTGTGGGACTCCTTAGCAGTGCGCATCTTTGATCTCGCCTCTCGAGATTTGAACCCAGGACCTTTAAGTAATGAATAGTATTATTGTGTTCTAAAAATAATTCTGATGTTCAAGAAGGTGATATCAATGGTCATTATTAAAATTGTCAAATTGTAATCTGAGTTAAGAAATCCAAATTTTCAATAGAATATTCTTTGTTTAATTTACAGATGATGTAGAAAGCGGAATAGCTGATTTCAGAAAAAATGAAATGTCACTACAGGCTACAATAAGTAAGTGAAATATGAACTGATTTCTGTACGTAAATACATAACTAAGAAAATCTACATGTCTTAAACATACTTTCATGCATAGCACGACTTATTAACATGTAAAAAAAGAAGTTAAAAGACACAGCAACTATATATAGTAACGAACTATTTGATACATTTTTTCTACTTAGTCTTTTTTGAATGGTGTCCAACTGAAATTCATTTTACAACAACTAATCCAAGAAACATCAAACACAGTTCCCTGTTTGCCTCACAGTGGTTCCAACGTTAAATTGAGGAGTTGAAAGTTTTGAAACATATATATTTCTCCTCATCAAGATTCTAACCATGTAATTACGCGAATAACAGTAGAGTTAGTGCGATCGAGTGATGCTATCAGTTATATACGCATGACTCATGGATTTGCGCTGCTATTTATTCTGGTATTTAGTGGTATATTTCACACAATCTTAATCCTTATGTCTATCAATACTTTTCTAAATAACGGATAGTCATCCTGTGAGGTGACTGATAAATGTCGTGTTTCATAGTCTACACCACAGTTTAGTCTTAGTGAGACAACCAGCGTAAATTTATGTGCACTCAACAATTGTTTCATTATAGCATGAAACTCCTCAGTAGTGTGCAAACGTAATCGATCAAGAGGATAAAACACATGGTTTGGATACGTTTTGCTCAGAAGTTTAGGTGTTTCTTAGTTTGCAATGATGTAAACAACGAACTGTATAAATCTCTCATACTTAAATAATTATTTGTTTGAAGAATTTCCAAAAACAAAACTGAATACATTTTATCGTTTAAATGTATGTCTGTTTCTTTCAGGTAATAAGGTTCGGAATAGATCTGAAAGACTTAGAGCAATCCAAAAATGTATGTCTAAAATCAAGATTATTTACATTAAATCTCATGGTTGATTTTAGATGTGAATTGTAAAAGTAAACTACAACATGAAGAATCTTTCAGTTTATTTCTCAAAGGTTTGAACAGATATTACTAATAAACTTTTGTTATAGTGTAGATCTTCTTAACTCATCATTCACACGCATACATCATTACACTGATTTGTTTCAGTCATTTCGATTTTTCACAAATCAAATAGGATCACAAATCATCCTACTTCTTTATTATACTTACTTTCTAGAAGTTACACAAAACGACGCAATGATAATTAGCGTGATCACATTCCTGATCTGTGTTAAAAAACACCATGAACATTTCAGATCATTTAAACAAAATGTGTCCAAATGAATTAGAATGGTATTAAAGCATGTATACCATGTTTCAAACTATCCAGATTCAGCAGACAATCTCTCTTATATTATCACTACCAAGATGTAACCACATAAATTGAAGTGAATAAAGTTGTAGGCTTAAATAACATGACAATTTTCCGGTCACCATTATTTGTGTGCATTCAATCACCTTTCTGTTTAACACTGGCTCTAACTGAAGGAGGCTACTGATTCGTTGAACAGTTTGTTTAAATTTCCCCGAGACTTATAAACTATTTAATCTTTCTATTTATCAGAATATTACGAATAAGCAATCTATATATGTAGTTAATTTGGAAATATTTCACCAATAGTGAAATTCGACTGTCAACACAAGAGCTCCATTTTGGTTACAAACTAAAACACTATCATCTTATAATCTTTAAACATAACTAAGATTGTTCATTTAGTGTAGTTTACTTGTATTGTTATTTAGAACTACGATTGATCAGTCTTTTGTTGGCATATGTGCATTCTGTGAGGACTGCCTCGATATTGCGTGAAGTCACAAGCTTTATAAACAAAAATGGATAGTGGCTAGAAGTGGAATCCAGGATGCGCGTTTCGTCTCATTTGGAACTCGTCAGATGAATTTTCACTCTGAGACTCGAACCACACTATCGTACGCTTCAAATGCCATCACGTTATCCACTTACCTACTGAGTCTTGATAGCCACCTGCTTGTGCAATAGGGTGATGAAACGCACGTCCTGGATTCCACTGCTAACCACTACCTTGCTTTCCTTATAACTAAAATCAAATTTCACTATTCCTATTGTTAGATACCATAAAAATGAAAATCTGTTTATCTTCATTTAAATCTTTTAGAAATGAATAAACAGTTTGAAAATGAACATCTAATGTCATGTATGATTTTGTCTTTTTTCTTCTTCTTTAAATAATTGTCCCTTACAATATTGAATGTAGATTCAATATCGATGGTGCTTATGATTTACAATGTTTGCTTTCGTGCAGTGTTCTCCGAAAATGTTTTCATAAATGTAATATCGATGTATGTATATATAACTTTCGAAAATAAAAGCAGTCACTTGTTTTCAATACAGTGAACTATTTGAATTGAAGTAGTAGATTTGACATTTAGTTGTTATAGTAATCTGTTTTTCCTTCTATAATTTTGAAGTTAATTTCATCTACTTTTCTTGTGTATCATTGATACTACAGTCCCTGATTATTCAACTCTGAAGAACTGCTTCATAGAACAAGAAAAGATTTTAGAAGGTCAGTGAAAATATTCTTAAATGTGTAGTTACATAAACAATATGTACATTTCTCATTCAATTACTATATGAAAATTGCCACTCCTGTTTTGCATATAAGCGATTGTTCACCTAATTAAGAAATTGGAATAGTCTATAAGGCTTACAGATGATCATTACACATTCATGAATTGAATAAATATAAATGATGTTTCACTGTAGACAAATTGATAATGTATGACTTGTAGATATGCATTCCTAGTCCTAAAACTAAAAGACAATTAGTGATCACTGTTACCTGTTTGTTTTTAATTGGTCCTTTCAACTTAAATTCAACGGTGAATAATACTTGTTCAATTCAATAGAGGATTTCAGAATTCATAAAAATGTCTGGAAAATACAAACATTCACAAAACAACCAACGTACAGTTGACTTATTTCAGATGGTATTGGACATTGAATATTTTCAACAATAAGAACCCCACTTATTTCATATAAGTGATACAATTGTTTGAAAGACCACCAGCCTAATCACTCAGACTAAGTAAATGATGTCAGCAAAATTTGTTTCTATTTGATTTGGAATTGCATTATTGTTGCGAGTATGCCAAATACACTGGCAATAGCTAAGAATGAATATTACATTTTACGTCATTACACTATTAAAAGAAATGTTGAGTTTACATGATAAAACACAGCATTTATACAGTTCACATTATAATAGTCATTCGAGTGGCTGTCATTCCAGACACACTTTCGAGGATAGGCAATGTAAATAAATTTGAGAAAGGCTGAACGAACCAGAACTTCAATCGTTCTCATCATAAACCAATAAATTATAATGAATTCACCGCTTTATTTTGATCACCAATAGGGCCTAAACTTGATGATACTAATCGAGAAATATGTAAAATACTGACCTTTTATAAAAAGATTATAAAATATATACTTCTCCGTCGCATATTCTTCTGTTCGCTGTCATCTGGATCGTCGTGTAAAGCCAGTGAAATGTCACTGAGCCCTAGCCAAATCATCCGGCATTTGGATCACTGAATGTCGAACAGATCATCGCTCCCTGTCAAGGTCAGGGACAACCAACGCGCATCCGTTAATCATATGCCATCGACTGGCCCATGTGCCAGTGTTCTTACTTTCGCTTGCATCTACCTTGACTTTGACGTTAGATGGTTCATCACACCATTCCCGTCTAACTCGAGTAGTTCTCCAATCATTTTCGACATAGATCATCTACGTTGGTGAACTACAGTCGAATCATGAAAGATTCATCTTCCTCTTCTGAACAGATAACTTTCATAATTCATTTGGTGAAGTATTTTAAAAATGAAGTAATGTTAACCGATCAGCTATGAATGTTTCGGGAAATAGACTTTTATATTTAATCAGACTACTGGTTTCTTGAGGACTTTTCAATGCTTCTATCCACTTCAAATACTGATCAGGTCAAGTAATAAAACCAATGTGAAATTATTCGTTTGAATTTTATTTCTAGGACAGAAGTCAAATAGCAAAAAGAAAGTTTGCAAACCACCTAAGTCATTCTCTGAACAAGGTGAATTGTAATAAGTGATATTCATTATGATGCATTTAAACAACGATGTGTTCTCATAATTTGTAACTACTTATTTGTTTCTAATATCATCCGAAATTTACAGCTACTTTCTCAGAGTTTTAAAGAATGTTCATTTATCAAGCATTTTTACATCAGTATAGGGTTCTGGAGATTGTTCAACTTCATTAAAATAAAGAAACGAGCAATGTCATATGACTGTTTAAAATTCAAATCACGGAGCGTCCGTTTCATCCTAGCGTGAAACTTCAGTATTTTGAGTATACATCCACAAGGGTCAAAATCAAATATAAAACCTCCTTGGACTGATTAAAGTTGAACATATCCACTGTTGGATCGGCACCTCATAGTTTATAGATTGAGCGTTTGCATGAGAGACTATAGATACTGAGTTTGATTCGCTCCAGTGAAGTCGTGCATGCATTCTGTTCAAAAGTCTAATACTAATATGAAGTGATCATCCAGTGCTTCCATGTTTTCAATAGTTGTCTAACTTTGGTCGGCTTGCGATTTAGTGAGACAATTATCTGTCTACTACCCTTGTTTATGAACTGCTGGGGTTGAAGCTATCATGGGTTCACTAAATCTGTGGACAACAAACAAGACATGGTGGCCAAAGACCGGTAAGCTAGCTATTGATGCGTCTCAGCCCCGCCAACCAGAGGGAAACCTCCAAGCTTGGAATGGGGAAGTATATTCTGCAAACAGCCAGAAACGACCGATAACAACACACACAATTCAAAACGTATACAGTGCAAAACCATCCTTAGGGAGAGTTACCGAATAATATACTATTTATGATATTTTCCAGTGGAAAATACGACATGTAGGTGACGAGAGCGTCTTTGGCGCAAAACAAAATAAATTTGAATTTTCTAAATAAATACCAAACTGAAAAGGGATAAAACGTCAAGATGAATTTGTAGTGACTCACATTTATCACAAGAACACGACTGGCTTAATGAAAACAATTATTATTATAACCAACTGTACCAGTGCTTGTTTTAACGTACTTTCGTTTGACTGTGCTAATGACAGCTATATTGTGCTTCAATTCTTATTCTTACACTTTGATTGTAACTTCGCGCGAATTCGGTTACGTTCTGTAACCAAGCTTCTATCCTGGCACGATCTCGGTATCCTTTTGATGCCACGAGATCGCCAGCAAATACGTCTCGATTTGGTCCATTAATTGCCTTCTGATATTTGGCTTCTCGGGGATTTTATGGAGTCGTTTGGCACGAGCTTCTTGGTACCGGTGTTCATAGTCAATTGTGACTCGACACCACGTTACAAATTCATCAGTATACTTTTGAAATTGATGGAAAACCTTTCTCATTCTCCTTCTAGAAATTCAGGTTCTGAATTATTTAATTTCTAAAAAATACGATATTTTGTGGAAATGGAACAAAGCATTATGTAAGTATAAGTAATAAAATATTGTACATCTTTTATGAAGGAAATGTTCAGAAGAGAGTTTGAAATGTTCCGAATCTTTAGATTCATACACATACAAACAGTTTGTCAAGTATTCATATATTGTGAAGAAAGTCAATGAATTATAAGAATTTGAAAACATTAATGAGCAATTTATGTGACTTAGTAGAAATAAGTACATAGTCAATTGCTTGGAGTTAATCTCATCGTTTGCAGAACGACAGGTCAATCATTATAATGTATTTTACTGTACAAAATAACGATTTGTTCTTCCTTTGACATTTCAGTTAACTACGAATTCGCTTCGAAATATATTGGGCACACACTAAGTTTATTACAAAGGGTAATTCAAATTCACTTCCGTTTTTAGAAACTAGCACAAGTTTCGCCATTTTGTGTTTGTCTCATGTCAGTTATTGCAATATGATGTCATTCAAGACAACTTGTTAACCGATTTGTTCTATTCAGATATGCTTTGTGAAGACAACATATTAAACATATCTAATGGTTGTTAAAACAATTGATCATGTCGACTTTAATAAAGTCACCATCAAACCGATAACTTTTGTCAATGAATATGTTTCGAATCTGTTGACGAGTGAGGTTAAAGGACATCAAACATTTCAGTTGATATAAAATCTAGAGATGAATAGAATAACATTGTATTCAACAACAGTAGGTATGGATTGTAATCAAAGTGTCCTGCTTGAATATTTGGGCTACCTGTTCTTGACATCTGTATATTTCAACAAGTTATATGTTTCCTTGTTTGTTTAATACATCATTATGCCTAATAATGAAATAACCTATTCAGGTGCGTTTGTGAAACGTTTACGACATTTCGCTGTACAAGTGACAAAAGAGCTCAATCAAAGACATCGTCGTTGCTGGCAATATTCATCGAAAACAATATGCATTAATCAGATTTCGATTTCTGAACTGATGATATCTAACTGGCAACCAACTAATATTTATCGCAAAGGTCGACTAAGAAAAAAGATAAAGAAATCGTGTTAAAATACTTTGTGCTGAGGGTCTCACATTGTACCAAAAATGTAATATTGAATAAAACCACTTATCAATAATAGTAAAATCTATTAAATTCGTAGGATAATAAGAAATTTCAATTTCTTTTACAGATATATAACGACTTGTAATAAAATGCTGGTTGAAAATGTCCATCACAAATATTGATCACACTAGTTCAATCTTATTTGTTCGGAGATCCTGTTGAAGATCCTGTATTGACATTTAATTAATTGCCTTATCAACCAAGTTTAAATAAAAACCATGTTTGTTTGAGAAATTTGTTCTGTTCTGAAAAATGTATTTTCCAAATCATCATCCAGGATTCATAGCACAAACTCTTTAGATTTATGAAATAAAGTTACGTGCCAATCAGTTGTGATCATCGCGTAGCCTTGGACAAACCATCATTAAACCAAGCTGCTCTACCACATAAGTACGACAATAAGAAACGATAATGAGAAATACAGAATTCAAATGTACACAAACAGGTCACTAGCAATACAAGACCTGGAGAACAGTAAGATTTGCGTGTATCTATTTAACTGTGACCGATTCTCAACTATGCTATTTATTGTCTACATAAGAGATCACGAGCTTAGTCGCCGTCAGTTTGACTGCAATGTACTTCAACATCAGTCAATATCACGCATCGGATTAGATGATAATTACACTGAAATGACACAAATCCGAAACTTCCTATTCGTGAAAATCTGGACTCATAAACCGAATAACTACATTTTCGAAAAGGCAAATAAATGAGCTCAATATTGTTCACTCATTGGCTCCACGATGAATCAAAAATGTTTTAAAAGACAAATACTCACGAAGCTGTAGTCTACGCATATATATTTCACCTTCATAGTAATAGAGATTAGATTACTTAATATCATACTAGTCATTTGATAGGTAAACGGACACCTTTCCAAAGCGAATACTGACGCAATTCGGTATTAACCAACTTAGCTTACTGAATTGGTAGAGAGATTTTGTCAGACAGCTATTCTTCAGGGCTGATGGGACTGACAATTAAAGTGAAGTGGTCAGCACACGCATCTACATAACTTACTCCAGTCGGTTTAGACTGTGATAGAAACTAGTCCCGAATCAACATTTCGCATATGAAGAGAGAGAAACACACCTATAATAAGCTTCTGTTGTAACTGTAAGCGATCAGCAAACCCTGTATTATATCACTGTTCAAATTCAATAGAATTTTGTAACCCATGTGGACGTCTGAGACAGTTTGAATATGCTTAATCATGAAAAAATGTCTCAAAAATATTGATATAACGGGTATTACAGCATGATACCCTTTTATGAAGAGGTCAGTTGTAATCACAGTTTTCTGATAGTTCAAATATATGAAATGTTCATAGTATGTTTTGAGCATGTACCGTAATTGCTTTGATAAAACTAAGTTATTTGACGACGACTAATTGATACAGTCGTTAAATTAAGACAAATAAACATCGGAAGGGGCATTTGCGGGGACTGTAGTAATTCTAATGGGTAAATTCATCAGTCGATGTACTCTAAACCGCCACTGACAACCTGGAAGTACTGGACGGACATTTCATCTCAGTATGGGACTCCGCAGCAGTGCGTATCCACGATTCCGTAACAAAATAACTCGGAACCGGGATTTTCGGCTTCGTGAGCGAATGCTTAACCTTTCGACCACTGAGTCAGTATCCAACAATGTTAGTGTCTAGCTTTAATTGACTCATTATCTTGCACAACCATTCATTCATTGTCTTAGTTACATAATTGTCTCCACCCAATATGTATCGCATGGATTTTTTGAAAAGATATTTTTTGATATCTCATTTTGTAAACTAAACTAAACTAGATGGAACGGAATTTCAACCCCCAACCTTGTGCCTGAAAATCAATCCAGTTAACTGACTTACAAACCGACTGTGAAAGGACAACTGTCTAGCACATTCTGTTTTATACAGAATTTTTCTCCATCTCATAATGACCCAAAATCAGTTGGATAAATTTAGATATCTGTAAAGAACTAGTTATTTTTCGGCAGTTTGGAAATCGTCCAGTATTGTATCCTCTTAATTTTCTGAACTGAATTGAGTACCTACAAGTTTTAATGCTCGCTGAATTACACTTAAAATACTGGGTTAAAATTTCAATTTAAGAGCTTATTGTGCCAAAAAAGTTATTCTCTTACTTTTCTTATTGTAGACTTTTATCATTAGTTTGCACAACATTTATCTGCTCATTCTATAAAACAAATGACCTAATATTTACAGCACTCACGCTATAAGAAGTATGTTACTGGTTCAAACTCTTGACAAAATACCGGGTAATGCTTGCATTAGCATACGTATTTACAGTGCACCTCAAAGTGAAGCGCATAAATCTGGTGTATGAGTAGTTAGTGTCTGTGTATGCACATTCAATCGACATCTTCAAATTTCACTCCTTAAGTTTTGTTTCATTTTTTCCTTCCAATCTTCCCAATTTCCACATAAACACTTACTTTGGCTGATACATCACAAGAACGTGATGCTTTGATGGTTGTATAGAATCTTTGAAAGATTGGATATTGGGACATTTCAGTTGCTTATCTCGTTATGATACTCAATCATAATTTAATCAGTTAGTATCATCTCAACTGGGTGCTTTGTTAATGCACGGTTAATCGTCACAACCATCGTCTTTTTCATTGGTATTAACCAAATAAGCATTATGTGACAATAATACATGTTATCGCCATAAATGCTATTTTTCTCATTAATCTAGTATGTTGTACACACAAAACTGATTGTTTCAACACATCATTTTTATTCTGTAAATTTAATTAAAAAGTTCCTAATATACTTATTGCTTTATTTACACTAAATGTGCTCTCTTTTTTTTGAAATACGTACTCCTTTTGAATTGATTTTTCCTTAGTATATATAAATCTGTCTCGTCATTGCTTCTCTTCCTGATTTACATTGTCAACAGTAATGGAAGTCTTCTTCTTTTTCTTTACGCCTGTTACTCCTCGTGAAGGAGCATAGGCTGCTCACCAGAGTTCTCCATACAACCCTGTCCTGTGGCAATCCTTTCTAGCTCTTATTCATCCTTTTCATACCCGACGTAATTTGTTCTTTGGCCTTCCTCTTTTCCATGTTAGAGCTTGCCTCATGATGCAATCTGATGGTTTACGTAATGTATGTCCTAACCATTTCCATCGTCTTTTCTTAATTTCCTCTTCATCTGGAAGTTGGTTTGTTCTCTCCCACCACAGAAGGCTGTTGCTGATGGTGTCCGGCCAATGGATGTTGAGTATCTTGCGTGAACAACTATTTATAAATACGTGCACCTTCTCGATGATGGTCGTAGTAGTTCTCCACGTTTCAGATCTGTACAGTAGAACTGATTGTCTTGACGTTGGTATTGAAGATTGTGACTTTGATATTGGTTGACAGGTGTTTTGAGTCCCATATGTTCTTTAGTTGTAGGAATGTGGCCCTTGCTTTGTCAATCCTTGCCCATAAGTCTGCATCTGATCCTACTTGTTCATCGATGATACTTGCTATGTATGTGAATGATTGTAAATCTTGCAGAGTTTCTCCATCAAGTGTGAATGAATTAGTGTTCTCCGTGTTATATTTGAGGACCTTGGTTTTCCTCTTGTGTATGTTGAGGCCTACTGATGCAGAGACCGCTGCCACAATGGTTGTCTTTATCTACATTTGTTCGTGTGCATGCAATAGGAGGGCTAGGTCATCTGCAAAGTTCATTATTTGTGCTTCATTTTATTCTGTCTATTTTCTATTTCCACACCTAAAACAAACTTTCTCAATATAAATGTATTTCTCTGACATTTTTATGTTGTGTCTTGTTTTTATTCACAAATATATACAATAATATAGTACGGTGTTATTATTCTTCGATATAAATAGTTTATAGACATGTCCAATAAAGTTGCAAACTGAACTATTAAAGTTGTTAGTTATGAACGTAGATGAACAAACAATCTGTTAAATTGTGTGCAAACATCAACCTTCTTCAATCAATATAGTTTTGATAGTCTATTTAAACTTAAGTACTATTAATTCATGAAGTTCATCCAGAAAAAACAAAACAAACTGAACCACTTATAATTGTTTGTGAGTATTTCGGCTTACACGATAAAACAGAGACATCTGACGTCTGAGATCTTCCAGGGATGTTTTAAACGACGGATGCAGCATGGGGTTTCTGGTATTACCGTTCAATCAGAGTTGTACTGAAGTGCGCTCAATTTTGCAATAAATATCCTTGTGATCTCAGTTTGCGTATTTATTGGACAACTAGTCTTTTTAGAAAACATTTTGTTTGTTGTTTGACTTCATAACTGTTGTCAATCGACGGGTGAATATTTTTTCAAAATTGGTCCACTAAATACAAGCTCATATTCACTTCTTTGATCAGATTGTCACCACATTTCACTAACCGTAAATCCTCATAATCGTTTGTCATGTAACACTTGCAGTCCAATTGTCCTCTGAAATATGGCAAATGCATAATCCATACTCCTCGTTTTTTGAGAGGTAGGTGTGTCTTAACGGTATGCAGAAATATGTGTTGAGTCTCCATCTAGCTGTTGGAATGCATTGAATCGTGAAAAAAGTAAATTTTCAACTTCCTTTCCTAACTGCATGAGAATAATCCGACAGGATTTCTTTTTGGATAGATTTTACAATATTGATATTTGACCACTCTCCCGAGCTAATAAAAGATGAGGGTGAATTCAGTTTGCTGAGTAATCCTTCATCACGAACTGATTTCAGCTAAATAATGCTGGGAACTATTGTGTCAACATCCATTTCGTGTAATTAACCTTTATACATGATTGTGTATGTTACAGCTTAGTGTACAAGTCTATAGATAGACGGTAATCAATATCATTATCCACCAATTTGTACTAATGACAAAATGTATATAATATAGATAAATAAAGTTAACTAAACACAATATTCAATGTACTCGGTATATGCATATACATTTAGACATCATAATTACTTCATGACATTAATGAAATGGATCTAAGTGACAGGATTTGTAATTTTGTTTACAAAACAACTGATCATTCAATCTCAACACCGCAAACAACTTTTGGTTGACAGAACCATTGGTTTAATGATTTATTTTATGAATTCAATGAGTTAACTTAGTATACAAGATATTCGACCAAATAAACATAATCTTGTTACTTGTTAAATAACAGAAAAACAATAAAATAATGAGTGCAAAGTGACAGTTACACTGTTTCCTGTCGAAAATATCGTTTTCCTAAAATGCACTTCACTTGAATTTATGAATAAGAATGAGCTGGAGATAAAAACTGCTTTCCAAAAGAGACCGGACTTGAAGCATTAGGTTTCTTTAAACAGTTATAGGATAAACTTGCATCTACTCGTTCTGTCCACCAGATATGATTAGTAGGAAAATGATAAGTCAACATTGTTGGGTTTTTCTTGCTTTTCTTATGCGATCATTGACAGTCTATCTTTTTAAATTTAGATAGTGATCTTTCACTTCTACCCGTTGTAACAATATAAATATATGCTTATTCGATGTTGTTGAATGCATGGATACTCACTGTATTCAAGCCAGTTAGTTGCAACGTAGAACCTGGCATGTATGTACGACGCTTCAAGTTGTCATACCCCACTAGCACAGAGATAAAATTGTTAAGACATATCCCAGAGTAGTAGATGCAGTAACAGTATCATTGACAGTATAAAAGATCAGTTGTCGAATATAAGATTCAAGAAAAAATATATTAGTGAAATAAAAGCATACGACAAAATTCAGAAGATTAGGATTTGAAAGAGAAGACAGAGAATAAATGCAAACGATTTCGAGTAATCTTAACAAAAGTCTCTAAACACTGGTTACGATAATCACGTGGATCACAACCAAGTAATCTACACTTATTAACTTGACTGAATCCAATAGTCGGTGTCTTCATGCACTGATTCCACGTTTCGGTTTCACCTCTCCTATCTTCCTCACAATCTACCACCACACCAGACAACATAACCACATGTCGAGGTAATCGGTACTTGAGTGTATGTAACACATGTCCCGACCACCTTATTCGATGAAGATTTACTACCTAATCAATCGATTCACCACCTTTATTTATTAAAATACCCTATTTGGAACCTCGACATTAGTGAATCGTGCTTCCAAAATACACGAGTGATACTCGGAAAACACTTATGATCGAATACTAGTAACGTACGAATATCTACTATTCTTGGGGGGAGGGAGTGGATACTTGACATCAACAAAGTAGAATGAAGCGAACTATTGTGCAGTAAACTCATCGTTTTGTCGGCAGATTGATATGTCCCCTATGCCACAAATGAAGCAAGTTGACAAAAACCATTAGAGTCTTATGAACCCGTGTCACTAACGCAAGTTAAACCTGATGTAATATTTTCAATCTTTTGGTTCGTGAAGAATTCATTTTATCAGGTGTTGGTATAATTAATTGACATATGTAAAGTCCCGTTAGAAGAACCCTATCTTATTTTCCACTCTGTAAATTGTAAGTTTCCATTCAATGGTATCTATTCTCATTTTTTGCTTTTAAAAATCCTTCTGTAAGTTACCTTTTGAAATAATAAGTATGTTTCAAACTTCTTTGTTTAATTATTTGTGGATGATATTTTCCTACTCAATATTAACTGCCTCTACATGCTACTATTTCATTATTCTTATTCACTTGTCTAAATGACATAACATCTATCTGACTATGACTTTGACGACATAATTAATTAGTTTCTAGGCATATACCTAACGTTTTGAAGCTTGTAAACTGTTAGTTCCCACAAAATTATATCATTCGAACAAGTCTCGGATTGATTTGATGTGCAGAATTAAACATCTAGTTGCAAACAGCTACAACACTACTATTAATAAATAAATTATATTACTCAGTATTGTACGGTTTTACATTATATAAACAACCTGTGTGTAAATACTTACTCTCTGAAAAAAAAGTAAGTTACAAAAAGAAGAGAAAACCAAAAGTAGGCAAGTGGACGGGTGTGTGAATATTTGGGTGATGAATTGGCTATTTTTCAAATAATTATCGATCATGAAATAATAATCGCCAACTACACGCACATGCATATATAAATATGCGAAAAGTTAGCAGAAATAGTCGCTCAGAAAGAGTGTGATAACGATAATAGTTGTGTTTGATTTTCACCAGAAAGAATTGTCTTCGTTTTTGTATGTTTTTTAAGCAGCTTTTTTCTTCATTGCTGTAAAACGTTCCATATACTACAAAAGTGAGATAACACAAACTGACTAAATAAATCAGTTCGTTAGTTAGTTATAATAGTGTGATACAACGAAAGACAAAAAATAATGCAATAAGCAGAGATGGATAGTGGCTAAAAGTGGGATAATCAATCGGGTGAACTAGTATCTTAAATTTGATGTTCGTTCCGAAATCCGATAAACTACAGTCTTAAAAGATGATGGAGGATCAAACAACCAAGATATATGAATTAAAACCTAACCCATTGCACATACCAGTGGCTGTCTGGATTCAGTAGCTAAGTGGATAATGTGACAGCATCTGAAGCGAATGGCACTGGGTTCAAGTCCCGGAGTGGACATCGAATCTGGGATACAGGTAGATCCAGTTGGTGAACCCAAAATAGGAAGAAACGCGCTCCCTCGAATACACTGTTAGTCACTGTCCATCTCTGCTTAAAATGATTTAAAAGTAACAAAATTTCACAGGTTATATTTTTGGTTTTCCGATTCATAAGTTTCCGTACATTGAAAGACCACTGATAATAATCATATAAATAAACTCATATATTTGATAAATGTTTGATTAATCCATAAAACAGACTATGCAATCACGAGATGGATGTATACGCGATGACCGACAGAAACGATTCGGAATCAGACTAAACTAGACTATCCATTGAATCTACTGAAAGTAATTCACACACTATGAAATTCAGAGCAGAAATCAATAGTGGGATGTATTTACAATATTGTATAGTTTAGTGATACTTCCTATAGGCGATTGTTTGTCTTCGCTGACTGGTTCTTATAAACTAAGACTGTCAAGTAGTATGGATAAATCTTGCGAAAGAATTCACCCGCTAATATTATGACTTTTGTTAGACGTTTTCATTCATGAATTCTTGACATTTTATTAATTTTGTTATTCTAAGATGATTGAACCTACGTAAAAAAATTTTGCATTCAAATTATTTTTTTAATGAAAAAAAATCATAAATCTTAATATCTAACCAAAACTAACGAAAATTCATAGAGTGCTGTTGGGGGGTATAGGGGAGGTAATCATTTCCCAGATGCCTACACCGTGGAAGGGTTCTTCTAGAAGTGCCTGAAAAGGAAATGTCCTTGATTCTATTTTGTAGATGACTGACTGAACAAGAGTTCATGGAATTTGACCGATTAAATTGTCTAACATTTGTCTATTTGTCAACTAATCAACATTTAACATGAGGGCAATTCAGCAAAGAAAATTTTCTCTCTGATGATTTCATTTACATAATCTGTACAATTGTATTTATAGTTAATTTTATTTGCTAAAATAACAGTCTGCAGTAAAGTAGAATATTAAAAAACAAACAAGTTTGAAGTGGTGTCTTGTCATGAATTGTTCACATAACTTCCTTTCAAAATTTGATTTTTCCGAAGACTATTATTTTAGTAAATAAAATTGATTGCAAGTATGGTTGTACAGCTTAAGTGAATGAAATCGTCAGAAAGAAAATCCTCCTCGCTAAATTGTCTTCATTCCTCTTCAATGAAACTAGGAGTCACTTTATTTATTTGAACACATAAATATTGGTACAAGGGGGCACCAGATATATATGCACTACGCATGAGTCTCTTTAGTTATAATCAACACTTTACTTAAAGAAATATTTACTACAGTAGAAGTAGTCAAACTCAAATACGTTTATTATTAAATCGGATGAGAACCGGTGCTTTCAACGTGGTCCTGCCTTCTCGTGGCGGGGGTGTTGTTTACAAAAATGAGAGGACGAAAAACGAATGTCCGGCGGTTTAACCGGATTCCAAACGGATGGTGCACATGGGCTCCAGTATCCTGAGGGAACAAATGGCGTATGAACCAATTGTTGGTCACCGGCTTCCATGAGACTGCATCTCCTTACGATGCTCCACTGCCTTGTGGGTCAGATCATCAGGTCGAAGGCTCGGGGAGTGGCCCCTTAAGAAAACCAACTGCTCCGGTTTGGGCACCCGGGCAGTATCACAGCCCTCACACATATCGAATGAGATTTGTGTGGCGCATATGTATTTGGTGCCTCCTTGTGCCAATATCTGTGTGTTAAAATAAATAAATAATTATTAAATCACTAATTCAAATGCTTAGATATTCAATAACATGTTGAAGTGGCACGATATGGGGGTAGGTGTGTATGAAAACTATAATTAAAAAGATAATAATGACGAGAATAACTAACTTTTGAATAACCGGGTAAATTGTAAAAATCTTTCATATTGAATGAATTTCCATCGACACATATTAAGGAGACTTGTGAATTTGTTAGTAATTCGGTTGGGAAATTTTCTAATCGTAAACAATTATGTTCTAAGCGTAAAACTTTCAATCGTTCACATTGGGCTATGCCATTGGATATAATTGATATTTTATTCGAATTCAAGTTAATTTCAATGGCCTGAAGAGAAATATTTTGTTGTTGTTGAGATAAAGAGGAAAGAAATACTAGATCAAATTAACAATGATTAAATAGATTGAGATAATGCAATACTACAGCCTGGTTACTATTTGTGGCTTAGCGATTAAGCTGTTAGACTTCAAACCATTAAATCAAAGGTCCGAACTCCGTCCCACGGACTTTGGTTTACTAAACCGGTCGTACTACTAGTCCTAACGTCTAAAGTGGGGTTCAGAGCCAAATACATGAGTCTTTACCTGGTAATAAGTTAATAATAATAATAATAATAATAATAATAATAATAATAATAATAATAATAATAATAATAATAATAATAATAGTCAGTATGCATGACAAGTGACAATGAAACATCCAGCGGTTGTGACAAAGGTGTGATTAGCTTATATTTATTAATGTGACTAGGACATGCTTGATAAATACCAGAGTAAGGATTAAGTGAATTGATTAAACAATTGACTTTTAATGAATTTAGCACCTAATTCAGCTTGTAATAAAATTTGTCACTTCAGTATACATTATACTGTTTTTAGTAGGTAAGTGTTAACTTTTAAGAATGTCAACATCGATTTTTTTAATCTTTCAAGTAATTTACGACTGACAGTTTATATATAGCTGAAGGGGGAGTAATGAAATACACATGAATTCTACGTATTATGAAAATCCCTCTATTCACATGGATCTACGTTTACACAAAACGCATGAAAAACATCTCACACTATCAATATTTAAGTGTTCTACGTCTTACATAATTTCGGTCTGCTTTATGATTCACCCAATCTTAGTATTTAGTTTTCATTTACCTATTATAGAGTAAACATAGTGCTTAACATTTGACTTTGTATTGTTTTTTTGGCTGTAAAACAAACTCGCAAGGTTGGCGAAACGCGTAGATTGCTAGTATTTTATGATATCTGGTCTTAGCAGAATTGTCCGTATATAGTGAAGCACCCAGATAAACGACGATAAGGGCTGGCGTAAGTTATTAGGTCGAGAGTAAATAACTTTATGAAGCTGTGAGCACTCAAGAAACAGAGGTAGTTAGGGGATGTATTAATCATGTCTAGTCCCCATTTGAGCTAATACACAATAGTGGACAGTATAAAAGTAGATTAGACGGAAGCTCTGGACATGTCAAATAAAAATATGGTATCAGTCTTAAAACTTAGTGACTGTTTAATTAAGTCAAGTTGGAGGGTGGGGAACTTTCTGGTTTGGGTTCACTAGCTAATCGTTTGATTGGATAGTTACTGAGTGTTTCTGTCATTACTGTTTACTTCTTGTGGTTCGTGAGGGGAATAACATTTAACACAACTTTTATGCAGCACAAAATCTAACTTTTGACCATATATATATATATATATATATATATATATATATATATATATATATATATATATATATATATATATATATATATATATATATATATATATATATATATATATATGGTGTATTAGTTTAATTTACTACTTTTTACACCAACATCTAACACAATGAAAGCTTAGCATAAGATATATACATTAAAAATGACGAATAAGCATCTATACACATCCAAAACTTATTTAGACCAGATGCTATGATCAACAGATACTCTTACCTGTAATGAAGCGATAGCATTCGGTATAATACTAATTTGATTATTTGACAAATCAATCACATTGATAGGTATTGACTTTAAACACAGTTCCACAGGAAATTCAGTTAAATAATTATGACTTAAATTTACAGTACGTAGACAAGATAATTCATTTAAATTGACAATTGCTCCAGGTGTGATAAAATTAATTAAGAAATTACTGTTTCCATTTAATGATTCCAATTTTGTTAGTAGATATAGTTCTGCAGGAAAACATTCTGCAAGTAAGGAAAATATAGTACATTTGGTTATGATTGATTCATGTGGCTCGTGATTTATCAAAAACAGCACATATATAAACCTGACAATTCACAAACTAGCTAACTATTTATATTGTAACATATGCTTCCGACCTCTTTGCTTTGTACTAATGAACTCTTGTTCTGGCCTATATTTGGTTCACTACCGAATGGTCGAGTTACTAAATATGAATGTATTATGTGATTAAGTCAGTGTCAAAGTTATTGCAGTATTATTACTCAGTTAGTTATGAAGCAGCGTAGAACTTAGCGCATGTGCGAATTAGTTCAGGTCGCCATACTACTTTCCTAAAGTAAACAATGAAACTAACAAGATGATTGGAAAAGAGGTCGGAACAATAACAATATCTAAAACAGTACGAAAAGACTAGGTGTGTGAAGTAATGTAGGATTTCAAGGTTCGAGGAGAAATAGATGCATAAAGTAATTGGGAACTAGTTAATCAGCGTGCACCAAAGCAATCGTGCACTGAGCATGCTTTAATCCAGTCAATGTCCCGCTCACACCTTTGGACAGCCAGGAACTGTAGTAATGTTCCCTTCTTACAAGGGAAGGAAAGGGTCAGATAACTCAGAGCCGAGAAATAGAACATCATATACTAACCTGTGGGTTTCCGTCGCTGGTAGTAATGTCTTTAAAATACGGGGGTAACACATCAAGAACTAGTAGCAAAAAAGACATGTGCGACCGACTTCGAGTAGTTTTTCGTTGGGCTCTGCAGTTACACTCTTAGGTTATTAAGAACGTTACTAATTTAGTTCCCCTTTCAAGTATCTTAATATGAAGTATTTTTTCAATGTACAACTGGGAAGTCATAACCACCCACATATTTCTAGCAGAAGTCGAGAATACCTTGTACACGACTAGATCGCTAATCTGATTATCAATTCTTTCCTTATGACGTTATCACTATGCTCACACTCCATCAATGCTGACCTAGAAAAATAGAAATATACATAAAGTAATTCTACATCATTTCAGAAGGTAAGATCTTCTTAGTACATTATCTTATACTTTCTTGCATATTTTATACACAGAAAAGTTAGAACTACTGTACCCAATAATTCTAGTTGCGAGAAAATTGGAGGGCACAAGATATAAAATGAAGTGAAAACTAGGAGAAACTGTGAAACCTAATCAATACGAAATATATGCTAATCTAGGATATAACAGGGTACACTTTGACAATTAATGTAATGAACAATTAGTCTGATTACAGTAATAACCATATACAATTAATAATATGTAAGTGTAGCGCTGACGATTTTGAGATGTGGAGCATTTACAATTGATTGATCACTGGGTGGTGATCAATGTCTTGTTTGTCTAGTCCTTATTAGTGCAGATCGAATGCTATCGATCATGTTGCAATGTGGCCACCAGTCTAGGTGACTCGACACTGCGGGCACTATGTATTGAGATTTAGATGGTGGTTGGAGGTAGTCAACAGGAAACCCTGGACCCGGGTTTCGTGCTACTTGGCACTCGTCAGCAAGGTGTACCTGCAATCTTGAGGGAACTGGTGCTCCCTGGCGGATTCGATCTCGTGTCACCCAGCTTCACAGTCAGAGACGTTACCACTGAGCTATCCGAGCCGTGACTAACCTCCTGTAGGACTGAGATGTAATTACAACCACCATCTAAATCTCAATACATAGTGCCCGCAGTGTCGAGTCACCTAGACTGGTGGCCACATTGCAACATGATCGATAGCATTCGATCTGCACTAATAAGGACTAGACAAACAAGACATTGATCACCACCCAGTGATCAATCAATTGTAATTATATCTCAGTCCTACAGGAGGTTAGTCACGGCTCGGATAGCTCAGTGGTAACGTCTCTGACTGTGAAGCTGGGTGACACGAGATCGAATCCGCCAGGGGGCACCAGTTCCCTCAAGATTGCAGGTACACCTTGCTGACGAGTGCCAAGTAGCACGAAACCCGGGTTCAGGGTTTCCTGTTGACTACCTTCAACCACCATCTAAATGTGGAGCATTTGCATCTAAGGATGAGAATTTTGGAGGTTTTATTTCCTGAGTTAGACAGTTTGATCGTGAAGTTCTCCTTATTTTTTTAGATAACGATATCACTCTTTGTCTTTCTCTAAAAATCTTAAATTTTGTGTAATTTATACTGATCACTTAGAGATCATATTTATTTCTTTTGAGATGTATTCACCATGTTTTGGTTTTCTATCCCAGTAAATTTAATATCTTCTCTTTGACTTCTAATTTCTTTTTTAACTTCCTAACTTTATGGTGACGTGAGGTATGACTGATGTACATTTGTTGCAGGTAAAAAAGGCATTTTGACAAGCCGAAACATCTGTTTAAGTATGACAGGACTACTTACTAAGGTGTTGTTTCCGAAATTAAGAGGATGAAAGGCGAATGTCCGGTGTTTTACCCGGGTTGGTGGATATAGAGAACTCACCGAAAAGGAGTTGGAAAACCCCTATTAAAGACGAATAGTGCATATGGGCTCCAGGGTCCTGAAGGGACAAATGGCGTATGAACCAATCGTTGGTCACTGGCTACCATGATATTGCATTTCCTGACGTTGCTCTACTGCCTTGTGGATCAAAAATTTAGGTCGAAGGCTCCGGGTGTAGTTTCCTAATAAAACTACCTGCTTCGGTCTGGGTGCGTGGGCAGTATCCCAGCCCACACACAAATCAAGTGCCATGTGTGACGCACATGTATTCGGTGCCCCTTTATACCAATATTTATGTGTTCAAATACATAAATGTATTCTTTAGAACACAGAAGTTTAACAATATTGCTTGCTAGTGTAACAAACTGCGCGATGTTTAACACAATTGGAATTTTTTTAAACACTGATGGAAATGTAAAAATTTACCGGCTATTAAAAGCAACAGTACGATAGAACTTAATAATATTCAGGCCATTCGGTAAACGACTTTCTGATACAACATAATGAAATACTGAACAGAAACTTACTTAATTTGTTGTTTTCAACGTTTAGAACCTTAAGATTTTTTAATACAGATATCCATGGGTCGATATTTTCAATTTTATTATTTGAGAGATCTAAACTACGAAGATTACGAAGGTGTTTTACTTGTTCAGGAACCTTTTAAGTTAATTAGCAAAGGAGTAATAGTCGTTATCCCATACCTTTTTTAATTTTAAGCCACTGACTTGTAAAACACCAGTCTTCTCAGCGTTCTCGATCCTCGGAGCAATGGTATTACCCATTAGACATAGTAAAGATGTAAAGTTTTGTTGCAATTACTTCCTAGAGCATTAAAATGCACCTAAAACAGTGAAACAAGAAAACAAACGAATTTATTTGGTATAATAAGTGGTTGATAACAGAAATAATGAAAATTTCTTATATACATTACATATAGTAGTCTGGCTCCCTAGTAAAGCCACCTGCTTCGATCTGGGTACCGGGTCAGTATCACAACCCACACACAAATCAACTGCCTTGTGTGACACATGTGTATTCGGTGCCCCTTTGTACCAATATTTGTGTTCAAATAAATAAACAATAAAATAAAGATTATGAATCACAGTAAGATGGCAAGAAAATAGTTGAGTAGTGGAATAAATGCGGATATAGAGTTACAGTCACCGTATCAAGGACATAAGAACGCAAATAAATTGAATCAAAGTTCAACTGTTATATAAAGCAGTTAGTCTCTTTGATAGATCTGGATGGTATAATAATAAAAGGATTATAAGAACTGTGTAATATATTAGCACAACACATTCCGGACAATCTGGTCACACATATACTTGCTAAGAAAATTTTACTAACCCTCCACTTGCCTATTTGACTTTTCATAATGTTTTTTATTCAGGTGATATGTTGTGTTTAACATTAGTGAGTGGTAACTTGGTATTACAGCAACTGAAATCCTACTTTGAGGGTGAATTTTTACCCCAAAACTGCAAGAACAAACACACAGACGTAAACTAGTTTAAGTATCTGCAGAATATAACTGAAGGTGAATCTTATGACTAAATGAGCTATTGGGAATAAACTAAGAGTTTGGTTGTTTTAAATGTGATTGAATTCGGTTTTGAAACTCTGTGATTATTTTGCTGTCGATTATAAGTGGATTGAAGACGTATCGAAATGCTTTAATATGGGCACGCATGCACAGCTACTGCAAGATAAGTCTAACATATCGCCTTCTCGCATAGGGGTATTGTTTACGAAGTTGAAATGACCAAAAGCGAATGTCCAGTGTTTTAACCGGGTTGATGGTTATAGAGGATCCACCTAGGGGAGTTGGAAAACCCTGATTCCAAACCAATGGTGCACATAGGCTCCAGAATTATAAAGGAATAAATGGCGTATGAACCTATTGTCAATCACTCGCTACCATGGAATTAAAAATTGTTCCACTGCATATAACTCCGCCTGTAGCTCTCATAGGGTTACTGCCGGTCCCAAGCCCGGGTAAAGGAGGAGGGTTGGGCATGGGGTTAGCGTCCCCATCCCGTAGAAAACTAACTCGCTAAAAAAACGCTTACCAGAAAAAATAATCCAAACTATTTAAACTCTGCCCTGGGAGTTAGAAGGTCTTCATTTAGAAGAATTATGACGCTTCATGGTGAAAGCCGAGTTCCTTCGGAAGCCACGAGGCCGATGCCCCTTCTAACAACCAGAGCAAAAAATTTTTATAGGTACATGGAACGTTCGAACAATGTGGGAAACCGGGAAGACCAGTCAAATAGCAATGGAAAAGAGGAGATACAACTTAGCAGTACTGGGAATCAGCGAAACCCACTGGACCCAAGCTGGACAGAAAAGGCTAGCTACGGGAGAGATGCTGCTATACTCCGGTCACGAAGAGGACAATGCTCCACACACTCAGGGAGTCGCTCTTATGCTGTCCAAAGTAGCACGAAATGCACTTGTAGGATGGGAATCTCACGGATCCAGAATCATCAAAGCATCATTCAAAACAAAGAAGGAGGGGATCTCAATGAATATTATCCAATGTTATGCACCCACAAATGATAGCAACGACGACATTAAAGATCAGTTCTACGAGCGGCTGCAGTCAGTCATTGAGAAATGCCCAAGAAAGGACCTAACTATTCTGATGGGAGATCTAAATGCCAAAGTCGGAATAGACAACACTGGATATGAAGATATTATGGGACGACATGGACTGGGAGAAAGAAACGAAAATGGAGAAAGATTTGCAAATCTATGTGTATTCAACAAATTGGTCATAGGAGGCACAATATTTCCACACAAGCGTACACACAAGGCTACATGGATCTCACCGGACCACACTACAGAGAACCAAATAGATCATATTTGCATCAACAAAAAATTCCGAAGGACAATGGAAGATGTGAGAACCAGGAGAGGCGCTGACGTAGCTTCAGATCACCACCTAGTTGTGGCCAATTTAAAACTGAAGCTAAAAAAGAACTGGACAAGTGGACAAACAGCACTACAAAGGTTCAATACAGCCTCCCTTCGAGATGCTGACAGACTCATAGAATTCAAGATAGCTCTCAACAACAGGTTCCAAGCCTTACAAAATCTACTGAAGGAAGAAGAAACTACTATGGAGGATAACTGGAAAAGTATCAAAGAAGCATGAACCTCAACGTGTCAAGAGGTTCTGTGTCTAAATAAACACCATCATAAGGAGTGGATCTCTATAGAAACACTGGACAAGATCAAAGAAAGGAAGAACAAGAAGGCAGCAATTAACAACAGTCGAACACGAGCAGAGAAAGTCCAAGCACAAGCTGAATACATAGAAGCAAACAAGCAAGTGAAGAGGAGCATTAGAGCTGGCAAGAAGAAATACGTGGAAGAACTAGCAACGACGGTGGAAAAAGCTGCTAGGGAAGGAAATATGAAACAGCTTTACGATATAACGAAGAAACTAGCAGGGAAATACAGTAAACCAGAGAGACCGGTCAAAGACAAAGAAGGCAAGCCAATCACCGAAATTCAACAACAGCGGAACAGATGGGTAGAATACTTCGAGGAACTCCTGAATAGGCGGGCTTCGATGAATCCACCGGACATCGAAGCGGCACACACAGATCTTCCCATAGACATCAACCCACCAACGAAGGAAGAAATCAGAATGGCCGTCAGACAAATCAAGAACGGGAAAGCAGCGGGTCCGGACAACATACCAGCTGAAGCACTGAAGTCAGACATCGAAGCAACTACAAACATGCTTCAAAAAGATTTGGGAGGAGGAACAAGTGCCGATGGACTGGAAAGAAGGGCACCTCGTCAAGATTCCAAAGAAAGAAGATCTGAGCAAATGTGAAAACCATAGAGGCATTACACTGTTGTCAATACCAGGGAAAGTCTTCAACAGAGTGTTGCTGAACCGGATGAAAGATGCAGTAGACGCCCAACTTCGAGATCAACAAGCTGGATTCCGTAAGAATCGATCATGCACAGACCAAATTGCAACACTACGGATCATCTTCGAACAATCAATTGAGTGGAACTCATCACTATACATCAACTTCATTGATTATGAAAAAGCATTCGACAGTGTAGATAGGAGGACATTATGGAAACTTCTTCGACACTACGGAGTTCATGAGAAGATTGTCAACATTATCCGGAACTCATACGACGGACTACAATGCAAAGTCGTGCATGGAGGACAGCTGACAGATGCATTCCAAGTAAGCACCGGAGTCAGACAAGGCTGTTTACTCTCTCCCTTCCTCTTTCTTCTGGTGGTCGACTGGATTATGAAGACCTCGACATCTAAAGGAAACACGGAATTCAATGGACAGCTCGAAATCAATTAGACGATTTGGACTTCGCAGATGACCTAGCCTTCCTATCACGTACACACGAACAGATGCAGATGAAGACAGCCAGTGTAGCAGCAGTCTCTGCATCAGTAGGCCTCAGCATACACAAAGGGAAAACCAAAGTCCTCAAATTCAAAGCGGAAAACAACAATCCAATCACTCTTGATGGCGAAACTCTGGAAAATGTAGAGTCCTTCACAAACCTAGGAAGCATCATCGATGAACAAGGAGGTTCAGATGCAGACGTAAAGGCAAGGATTGGTAAAACATGGGCTACATTCCTACAACTGAAGAACATATGGAACTCAAAACAACTTTCAACCAATATCAAAGTGAGAATCTTCAATACCAACGTCAAGGCAGTTCTACTGTATGGAGCTGAAACTTGGAGAACTACAACAACCACCATCAAGAAGGTACAAGTATTTATAAATAGCTGTCTACGCAAGATACTCAACATCCATTGGCCGGATACCATCAGCAATAGCCTTCAGTGGGAGAGAACAAACCAACTTCCAGCTGAAGAAGAAATTAGGAAAAGACGATGGAAATGGATAGGACGTACATTAAGCAAATCGTCAAACTGCATCACAAAGCAAGCCCTAACTTGGAATCCTGAAGGGAAGCGAAAAAGAGGAAGGCCAAAGAACATATTGCGTCGGATAATAGAAGCAGATATGAAAACGACGAATTACAACTGGACGGAGCTAGAAAGGATTGCCCAGGACAGGGTTGGATGGAGAATGCTGGTGAGCGGCCTATACTCCTTCACGAGGAGTAACAGGCGTAAGTAAGTAAGTAAAAGTGCACTGCATATGGATTAGATCAGTAGGTCAAAGGCTCAGGGAGTGGCCCTCTAAGGTCACCTGACTCGGTTTGAGCACCCAAGTAGCACCTCATTTCTCACGCAAATCGCATAATGAGGTATGATGCATATATACTCGGTGGCTACTTGTACCAATATTTGTGTGATTAAATAACAAAAAAGATGTATCCAGAACTTGGATGTACCGCAACGTATTGTAGGCAGCAAGACGGACTGGTGTATTGGAAATAGTTTAACAGACTGTACTGTTTGGCTGGTTAAAATATAGATAAACTTAGATCTGAAAGCACAGAATACCATGTTGCTACAAATTGTCTAGAATAGTTAAGAAGCCCAAAGCGTTCTGTAAGCATTAAGAAATCCTAGAATCTAGCAATTTTAACATTTATTTGATGAGAGAAATGGGAGATGAATACGAATTTGCTGTGTTAAGTGGGATAAATCATATAAACCTATACATACTATATAGATTTATAGTCATTTTTGTGACACTAGGCATGTTATGAAGAACAGATACACCAGAACTGGGACTAGTGTCGCTAAACACAAGGTTTAAAAAATTTGAAACCAAATACTGCATAGCCCAACGCTATTCGTCAAATAAGACGCAGGATGTTAGCAAAGTTTTCTTACAATTTTAGTCAGCATAACGTGTATAACAAAACTTTGCTTGTTTACTACCAAAATATTATAAGAATAATGCTAGAGTAATGATGCAACAGAGTTCTCCAGAGAAGTCACTACTTTAAACTAATCTGGACAACCAATACATGAAGGTGGCAGTAACGAAATGTACAAAAGTAGCGCTAGACAGGAACAAAGTTTTTAATTTGATGATGAGTGGGGATTTCAATTGCGTAAAAGTAATGTTCTCATATTATTCTTTCCAAAAATAAATGTAAAAAAACAAAATTAATGAATGGAGTGACTTAGATTAGACATAAGGATGTTTTCGCTCAACCTGACTTGCGATATAGTACACACGTTTTCGTTCGTCGAGACTCGCATCGACGACCATTCAAATCAGCATAAAAAGGACCGTTCAAAGTTCTTCAACGTGAATCTAACTACTATATAGTCGATAAGAACGGAACAAACGATAGCATCAGCATCGATCGCTTAAAAGCAGCGTATTTAGAAGGAGATCATATTCACGTCGATTTCCCTTCGGTACAATTGCACAACACAACTCCTACGCTTATAATACCCCAAGCAACAGGCAACACATACGATGATACTTTGTAGCGGTAAATAAATCCCCAAACTAAATAGCTCAATAGGTTTTCGACATTGGATGCTGACCATATGTTTTAGTGGACTCATCTAGCTGAAGGCGCTCGGTCATGCATCCGGACCAGATCACGTGCTGTCACGCTGTGCTCAACAACAATCGCAATCACTAGCCAGATTAGATCAGAGATTCCCGATATATTGGTTATTGCCAAATACACTCTTCCGATCTCCTCGACTCTGTCTTTTGATTTCTCTCGGTGGGAACAAAGCATATTAGAAGGTGTTATTGGTAGAAGCGTTGTCAAACACTGAATACCTGTATCATCCTCATTGGTGAGACCGTCGTGATCTGGTACACCTAACTGCAACTGTGAGTCTGTTCCTTTTTGGGATTTTTATATATTATTACCTTTTTTTTAAACATTGTGATTTTTTTTTTCGTGTTTTTCCTGGGATATATATATATATTTTTCCCTCGTTCGTTATCGTACTTCATATTTTCATCATGGCTGAACAGACACCCAAAGTACTCAAGCTTAAGACTTTGTCCCCGCCTTCGTTTCAACTCATGCCTTTCTGGCCCGACAATATCGAAGCCTGGTTCTGCTACGCAGAAGCTGATTTCTCCGAGCACGGCGTGATCGACACACGTGCACAATTCCTCGCAGTAGTCAAGGCACTACCGCGCGAATTCAACAGGTACGTAACACCTAGTATGTTTACTAGTGATGTTTCCGAACCTTACGAAATCCTTAAACGTTCGATTCTTAAACGAGGAGACCTAACCGATCGACAAAGGTTAGATCAACTCTTCAATAACATCGACCTGCAACACGGTTCTGCGACTGACATGTTGCAAAGAATGAGAGAAGTGATAGGCCTAAAGACTTTCGACGAAGGTCTATTTAAACAACTTTTCTTATCTAAACTTCCTCAACAGGTGCAAGCGGTTCTGGTCTCATTTCAGAACAACGCCTTAGACGAGCTAGCTGCATCTGCCGATCGTATTTTAGAAATAACGAAATCGTCTACTTCAGAGGTATTTTCCGTCAAAGAAAAGCCTCACGCGACTCAGAATGACATAACCGAGTTATGTCATACACTCACGCGTTATCTTAATCTTCGTAACGACCGTAGTCGCTCACGCAGTCCACGTAGAAGCATTTCGCGTAAACGATCTGTCTCTAGACCACGAGAGACGGATAACCCTGACTGGTGCTGGTATCATAACCAGTATGGGAAATCTTCCAGAAATTGCAGAAAACCCTGCAATTTTCCCAACACGAAAACGACTGACTCGAAAAACAATTCGGGAAACTTCTAAGCCGGCACGCGTTAACGGCAACCGTAGCCGGCGAACATAGCCGTCTGTTGTACGTCACAGATGTGACAACGAGAGTTCGCTACCTCGTCGACACTGGCGCAGAAGTTAGCGTTCTCCCAGCAAATCATAACGACCGGCTCCACGAATCAACTCTAAACTTACAGGCGGCAAATGGAAAACCAATCGCCACGTATGGCAAAAGGTACGTCTACCTTAACGTGGGTTTACGCAAACCCATCCATTGGATTTTCGTTGTTGCAGATGTTTCTATGCCAATCATTGGTATGGATCTTCTACAACATCATAATCTAATCATCGACACGCGCAAACGGAGGCTAGTAGATGGAAACACTAAATTATCCGTTTGCGTAACTTCTTTTTCTGGTTGTAGATTATCCCCAGTCACAGTTAAGCATTCGATAGACCCACTCTATCAACCACTACTCGACAAGTACCCTGGGATACAACAAGCTCAAACGAAACTACCGTGTGTAACCAGCAATGTTACACATCACATCACGACTACAGGACCACCTGTATTCTCTAAAGCACGACGACTAGCTCCGGAAAAGCTGAGGTTAGCGAAAAACGAATTCGATCATATGATAGACTTAGGAATCATACGACCGTCAAACAGCCCTTATGCATCTCCGTTGCACATGGTCCCTAAAAAGGACAGCAACGATTGGCGTCCAACTGGTGACTATCGGCGATTGAATGCAAAAACCATTCCCGATCGTTACCCGTTGCCTCACATTCACGATTTGACAGCTACCTTGAAAGGTACAACTGTCTTTTCAAAAATCGACTTGGTTAAAGCGTATAACCAAATTCCCATGGCCACTGACGACATACCGAAAACAGCTATCATAACTCCTTTCGGACTCTATGAATTTTTGCGAATGCCGTTCGGTCTAAGAAACGCTGCGCAAACATTCCAAAGATTCATTGACGACGTCTTTCGAGGTCTCAACTTCGTACATGCGTATGTTGATGACTGCTTAATCGCAAGTCCGGACAGAGAATCACATCTCAAGCATCTGGATCTTGTTTTCGAACGATTACAAAAACATGGCATTACTGTAAACGTTCAGAAATGCCAATTCGGAACCGATTCGTTAGATTTCCTAGGACACACTATCGATGCTCAAGGCATTCGACCTCTTAGGACCAAAGTGGCGGCCATTCTGGATTACCCAGAACCGACCAACGTCAAGCAATTACGCACGTTTAACGGCCTGGTAAGTTTCTATAGACGCTTCATACCGAAATGCGCATTACTTATGAAACCTCTTACTGACCAACTGCGTGGAAATGCGAAATCCATTAATTTGGACGACACCGCACGAAAAGCATTCTCCACAGTTAAGGAACTGATCGCTAAAGCAACAATGCTCGCACATCAGGACACTGAAGCACCCATTAGTATCGCAGTAGACGCATCCGACTCGGCAATCGGAGGAGTCTTACAACAATGGATTAACAACTCCTGGCAACCCTTGGCATTTTTTTCTAGACGGTTGCTAGACACCGAATCGAGATACAGCACATTCGGTAGGGAACTCCTAGCTATGTATTGTGCTGTACGGCATTTTCAACACTATATCGAAGGCCGCGAATTCACTCTATTCACTGACCATAAACCGCTCACTTTCTCGTTAAGCTCTCCTTCTGACAAGTACTCTCCCCGTGAGTCTCGACAACTGGACTACATTTCGCAGTTTACTTCAGATATTCAACATATTTCTGGAGCAAACAATGTAGTTGCAGACGCCTTGTCTCGAATAAATTCCTTGAACAGTTTCCAAGGAATCGACCTTCTTAAACTCTCCCAGCTTCAAAAAGAAGACACTGATCTTCAGCAAGAGTTATCGTCCACAACCCTTAAACTACGCATCAAACAGATGGGAACAGGTAAGGAAACCTTACTTTGTGACACATCTACAGGAAGGGATCGCCCAATCGTCCCGAAACATTATCGACGCAATGTCTTCAACACATTGCACAAACTTTCTCATCCAGGTGTTCGTGCAACCATCAAGCTCATAGCAGAACGCTTTTGCTGGCCTGGTATGAATAAAGACGTGAGGGAGTGGGCACGCTCCTGTGTAAGCTGCCAAAAATCTAAGGTCATCAGACACAATAAATGTCCCTTAGGCTCATTTAAAACTCCCGATGCTCGTTTCGACCATGTTCATCTGGATTTGGTAGGACCTTTACCAGATTCAAATGGATACTCTTACCTCTTAACCTGTGTAGAACGTTTCACTCGATGGCCAGAAGCAGTACCTATCAAGGACATCACTGCTGAAACAGTGGCCCGAACCTTCGTCGAACGATGGGTAGCAAACTTCGGTTGCCCTTCAACCATCACCACAGACCGCGGACGTCAGTTTGAGTCTGAACTTTTCCGTCGTCTGACCACACTATTAGGAAGCACTCGCTTCCGAACGACCGCCTACCACCCACAAGCAAACGGGTTGGTAGAACGCTTTCACCGACAACTAAAAGCTTCACTATCAGCTGCAAACGTTTCACAGTGGACCGACGCTCTTCCACTCGTCTTACTAGGTATCCGCAATGCAGTGAAAGCTGACATTGGATACACTGCGGCTCAACTCGTTTATGGAACGACACTTCGACTTCCAGGAGAATTCGTGGATCCTTCATCCTCTTCAATGAGCATGGATCTAACCTCCTACACGAACAGGCTTACAAACGCAATGCGTTCAGTTAAACCTGCTTCCACTCGACCTCAATCAACTGATGTTTTCATTCAACCTGAGTTACGATATAGTACACACGTTTTCGTTCGTCGAGACTCGCATCGACGACCTTTCGAATCAGCATACGAAGGACCTTTCAAAGTTCTTCAACGCGAACCGAAGTACTATATAATCGATAAGAACGGAACCAACGATAGCATCAGCATCGATCGCCTCAAAGCAGCGTATTTAGAAGGAAATCCTATCTACGTGGATTTTCCTTCGGTACAATTGAACGACACGACTCCGATACTTATAATACCTCATCCGACAACCAACACACACGATGATACTTCGACAGTATCCGAAAATAAACTTAAAACGACACGTTCTGGAAGAAGAGTAAGATTTCCAGAACATTTAAATGACTATTGCACGTAAGGCACTTCTCGACATTTTCTATATTATTAAAAAAATTTTTTTTAAAATAGGCTTATATATTTTCAATTCTATTTTTAAAAAAAAAAACAACAAAAAAAAACGATTTTTTTAACGCTGTT